CACATAACCACAAGGTTGGCAGTTCAAAACTACCAGTGAGTCTTTGAGAGCATGACAGGACGAGACCATCCAGATTGTCAGCCTGAGAAACCCTCTGTAAGACAGCCATGAGTCAGAACTGACCTGAGGGAAGTGGGTTTGGGGTGTGTGTGTGTGTGTGTGTGTGTGTGTGTGTGTGTGTGTGTGTGGTGTTATCTTCTGCTGAAAATTTAGCAGAAATAATTCTGGTGAGTGTAATATTTTACATGTTATGAACCAGAGCACTAAGATTTTTAGAGGCTCCCAGGTGGCACCATGGCTAAAACATTCAACTGCTGATAGAAAAGCCAACAGCTTGAACGTACCAGCACTTCCAGGAAGGTTTGCAGCCATGGAAACCCTCTCACTGGGTCGCTAGGCATCAGAATGGACTCCACAGCCATGTCTTTTCTTTAGGGGGGCTATTTTTAAATTTTTAAAAGTGGCCCTCACCACTTTGCAACATCTCACCCAGTGGTTCACAGTGGTTCTTACCAGTTTAGTCATGACTGATGAAGCAAAATTGGAATGTATTAAATTTGTAAAATGGGATATACTGAATGACAGCCCAAACAGAAAAAAATATGGACCAACACCTTACTAGAAACATATCTTCCTTTAAGAAAACAAGAGTTGTGCCTGCTTGCACAGCAAACACATCTATGAACTGGCCAAGGTAGAAACAGTCCCGCTGGGTTCCAAGGTGGCAGCTGAGCTCACCACTTTGAGTATGTCTTGTTCTCTGCCGCCTGGCAATAAGCCAATCTCCCAAAGCAAGCTTCTGAAAGTGTTTACCTGCCTCTTCAGAGGCTCCCACTCCAGAGCTTTGAGTCGTCTGTCTCTTTTTCTGTTTCAGTTATCAGTCTGGTCCACCTACATTTTGCAAATTCAGATCTATTCTGGTTTTGTTGTGTTGGCCATAACTGAACTGGTTCTACCCAGTTTGAAGTCCTAACTCCCTGCTGTGGAAATCCCAAAGGTAGCCTTTTACCAGGGACAACATCCAGAAGGCCTAGGAAAGAAAGAGAAACAGAAGAAGGAGAGAGTAGGATAAGTAATGCTATATTGTGAGCATGGCAAACTATGGCATGAAACAAAATGTGTATGACTTGCTGAATGGGAAACCGATTTGTTCTGTAAAACTCCCCCCAGTTCACAGAAGAGTTTTGTCTGTTTCTTTGTTTGATGACGCATGCTGCTGCTGCTGTTAGCTGTTGTTGAGGGGATCTCTGACACATGGCAACCGCAGACACAGCAGAACGGCAGGTTGCCGAGTCCTGTGCCAGTCCCAGGATTGGTTGCCACTGAGTGCAATGCTGATCGACAGTGTCTTCAATGGCTAATCTTTCAAAAGCAGATCTCCAAGCCTTTCTTAGTCCATGTTCACCTGGAAGCTCCACGAAAGCCTTTATAGGTTCAAAGCAAAATGGAAGCCACTTACAGATGAAGCGTCACTGTCTATGAGTTTCATTGGCTGGACCTCCAGCTCAGGTCTCTTGCAAGGAAGAAGAGAATTCTATCATTGCACAATCACTACCCTCTCCTAAGTTATACAGACTTGCAATTAAAAACATGTAAATAGTGGAAAGTTGTCATAATTCTTGAGTTGCCATTCTTTTGCTCAGCAGGTCTCCATGCTTGTATATCATATAGTGCATAAAACTGTCTCACAATATTTTTACTTAATGATATAAATATTTCCATGCTTGGTATCTCAAAAAATTCTTACTAATTATAGCAAAATATTTATTTACCTAACCATGTTAGTAGACTTCCCATTTGAGGTAATAAGAAATGAAACATAAACAAGTGGCCATATAGCTGAGAAACAACAAAACCCACATGGAAGAAGCACACCAGGCTGTCCCAACACCATCGCTGAAGACAAAGCAGGTGCATAAGCAAATGTGGTGAACAAAGTTGATGGTGCCTGGCTATTAAAAGATACAGAGTCTGGGGTCCTATAGGCTTGCAAATAAACAAAGCCCAAATGGAAGAAGCTCACCAGCCTATGAGATCACGAGGCATCAAAGGGATCAGATATCAGGGATCAGAGACCAAAAAAATCATAGCATTGTGAATGAGGGGGAGTGCAGAGTGGGGACCCAGGGCCCATCTGTGGGCAATTGGATGTCCCTTTCAGAAGGGTTGTGTGGAGGAGACGAGCCAGTCAGGGTGCAGTGTAGAAATAATGAAACATACAATTTTCCTCTAGATCTTGAATGCTTCCTCGCCCCCCCACTACCATGATCCCAATTCTACCTTACAAATCTGGCTGGACTAGAGGATGTACACTGGTACAGATAGGAACTAGAAACATAGGGAATCCAGGACAGATGAGCCCCTCAGGACCAGTGGTGAAGTGGTGATACCGGGAGGGTGGAGGGAAAGTGAGGGAGAAAGGGGGAACAGATTACAAGGATCTACATATAACCTCCTCC